TCAAGCACTATGCATCTGTGTTTAAAGGACTCAATGAGTTTCCAGGCCAGCACCACATCTACATTGATCCAAAAGTCCCTCCTGTTGTTCATGGACGTACGAAAATACCATATGCTGTGCTTGACAGGCTGAAAGAGACATTGGACAATCAAGAGCAGAGGGGTGTGGTCAGAAAATTAACAAAACCAACAGCGTGGGTGAGCAGCCTAGTCATAACAGGAAAAAGAAGCATGGGTGTGTTTGGATCCTTAGTACCTGAACAAGGCCATACAGCGCCAACACTTCTCCATTCCCACCTCAGAGGATGTGCAATGCAAACTAGCAGGCAAGAAGATCTTCACTATCCTAGATGAGAAGGAGGGGTATTGGCAAATCAAGCTGGATGAGGAATCAGCTGATCTCTGCACATTCAATACCCCATGGGGGAGGTACCGGTTTAATCGCTTACCTTTTGGCATAAAAAGTGCCAGCGAGGTATTTCAGCAGATCAACTCAGAGAGCTTTGGCGACATTGATGGTGTCTATGTAATTGCAGATGACATGATAATTGCAGCAGCCACCAAAGAAGAGCATGACGGCATTCTACAGCAGGTGATGGACAGAGCTATCCGTCTGAATGTGAAGTTCAACGCTAACAAGATACAATACATGGTGAGTGAAGTGAAGTACATGGGGCACATCATCAACGCAGATGTAGGTTAAAGCAGACAACTCCAAGGGGACAGCAATCACACAGATGCCCCCACCAGAAGACAGAAAAGGTCTATAGAGGTTACTGGGTATGACACGTTTCCTAACCCAGTAGATCCAAGATGAAGCCACGCTCACTGCACCACTCAGAATGCTCCCCAGGAAGGACATGGCATGGCAGTGGCACCCAGAACAACAAGCAGCACTGGAGAGACTGAAAGAAGCCGTCTCCACTGCGCCGCTGCTGAAATTCTTCAACCACAGGAAGAGATTGAAATACAAGCTGATGCACCCAAAGATGGACTTGAAGCTGTTCTGATGCAAGGTAAACCGCCTATAGCCTTTGCATCCAGAGCTCTGTCTGGGGCAGAACAAAATTATGCCCAGATAGAAAAATAACTCCTGGCAATCGTGTTCACACTGAAGAGGTTTCCCCAGTATGTCTATGGTGTCCCGGTCAGAGTTCAATCTGACCACAAACCACTTGAGGCTATAATTACCAAGCCCATTGGAAAGGTGCCTACCCGTCTTCAAAGGATGTTGCTTCAAATACAGAAATATGACATTCACATCGTCTACACCCCAGGTAAAGACATGTTAATAGCAGACACGCTAACCAGGGCTGTACCCCAGACTGCCACACATGAAGAGTGTGACCTCAGTGACAAGAAAGTAATTTATGCAGTCTCCGCACATCAGCCACTGGAGGGTACTGTTATACAACAGCTGAGAGCAGACACAGACGCAGACAGTGAGATACAGCTGCTGAGGAACCTGCACAGAGATGGATGGCCAGACAAGAAGAAAAGTGCACCACTGAAAGTGCAACCCTACTGGCACATCAGAGACTCTCTTTACATTGAAGATGGACAACTTATGGTAAACGAACGTATTATCATTCCCAAAGACTTTGGAGCTGAGGTACATAAGAGGCTCCACATTGCACATCACGGCATTCAACGCTCCTTAGCGCATGCCAAAGCTCTCATGTATTGGCCAGGCCTTACTGATGATGTACGAATGATGGTCGAATCGTGCACTTCCTGTCAATCAAAATATATACAGGTAAATGGCATAGGTTTACTAGATAAGAAATTAAACAATTGTTTATTAAGGGATATTTTCTACAGGAAATCTATTCCTTCTGCTATAATTTGTTGGGCTTCATCGTTTGATGTGAACTGGCGCCGTGCTTGGCTCACTTCACACATTTATGGTGACCAATAAAGTAAAGAGATCTCCTTTAAGATTATCCATAGATTCTACCTGTGTAATAGCTTGATTTCTAAATATATACCTGACGTTACCAGTGAATGCAGTTTTTGTGAACTAGAAACTGAATCTATTGAACACTTATTTTGTAATTGTTTACATAGAGAGGTGTTCTGGACTGATGTGAAACTATATATTGTCAACAAAATGCATACAACCATTGAAATATCTAAGTTTGACATATTATTTTACTACACTGATTACACAATTGAACGTCAGTACGCCATGAAGCTCTATTTTATTAGGAAAAACTTTCATACACAAATCAACATTTATGAAGAAAAGGCACTTTTTAAAACTGATTTGGAAACCTATTTAGAATCATTAAAGCATATGCAAAACAAAATGTATCAAATGTATTTCCTACATGTCTGGATTTGTTTTGCTTTTTGCTCTTCGTTATTTCTTTGTGTAATCCCTCTGGCTGTTCTGTTTTTTGTGTTTTGCATGTTACGGTAGTTTTATAAAAATAAAATTAATTCTCAAGTAAGGATTCGGCCCTGGCAGCAGCGCAAAGAGCCAGTCAAGAGCAGTTACTTCAAATAAAGTGTCACTAAAATGTTATCTGTGCACCTTTAGAGCATCTTAGCAAGAATGACTGTAGCTAAGTACAAAAGCTTCAAGCATCGTGAATTTCACATTGTTTATGACAGCTTTAGTGGTAGCCGAAAAGATTGTAAAACAGGATAAGTATCATATAATAAAGACTGAGTGTTGTCCAATGTTACCTTGATACAAAAACATAAATAAATAAAAAATAATTTGAATACTAATTTACCCCCATAAAACATAAAACAGGTAACTGCCAAAATAAAGGAAACACTTGAGTAAATGAGGGATACAAAGTACAGTTGAAGTCGGAAGTTTACATACACTTAGGTTGGAGTCATTAAAACTCGTTTTTCAACCACTCCACAAATTTCTTGTTAAACAAACTTACATACAGTAAGTTGACTGTGCCTTTAAACAGCTTGGAAAATTCCAGAAAATGATGTCCTGGCTTCAGAAGCATCTGATAGGCTAATTGACATAATCTGAGTCAATTGGAGGTGTACCTGTGGATGTATTTCAAGGCCTACCTTCAAACTATGTGCCTCTTTGCTTGACATCATGGGAAAATCAAAAGGAATCAGCCAAGACCTCAGAAAAAAATGTGTAGACCTCCACAAGTCTGGTTCATCCTTGGGAGCAATTTCCAAACACCTGAAGGTACCACATTCATCTGTACAAACAATAGTACGCAAGTATAAACACAGCCGTCATACCGCTCAGGAAGGAGACGCGTTCTGTCTCCTAGAGATGAACGTACTTTGGTGCGAAAAGTGCAAATCAATCCCAGAACAACAGCAAAGGACCTTGTGAAGATGCTGGAGGAAACAGGTACAAAAGTATCTATATCCACAGTAAAACTAGTCCTATATCGACATAACCTGAAAGGCCGCTCAGCAAGGAAGAAGCCACTGCTCCAAAACCGCCATAAAAAAGCCAGACTACGGTTTGCAACTGTACATCGGGACAAAGATCGTACTTTTTTGAGAAATGTCCTCTGGTCTGATGAAACAAAAATAGAACTGTTTGGCCATAATGACCATCGTTATGTTTGGAGGAAATGGGGGAATGCTTGCAAGCCGAAGAACACCATCCCAACCGTGAAGCACGGGGGTGGCAGCATCATGCTGTGGGGGTGCTTTGCTGTAGGAGGGACTGGTGCACATCACAAAATAGATGGCATCATGAGGAAGGAAAATTATGTGGATATATTTTAGCAACATCTCTAGACATCAATCAGGAAGTTAAAGCTTGGTTGCAAATGGGTCTTCCAAATGGACAATGACCCCAAGCATACTTCCAAAGTTGTGGCAAAATGGCTTAAGGACAACAAAGTCAAGGTATTGGAGTGGTCATCACAAAGCCCTGACCTCAATCCTATAGAAAATGTGTGGGCAGAACTGAAAAGGTGTGTGCGAGCAAGGAGGCCTACAAACCTGACTCAGTTACACCAGCTCTGTCAGGAGGAATGGGCCAAAATTCACCCAACTTATTGTGGGAAGCTTGTGGAAGGCTACCCGAAATGTTTGACCCAAGTTAAACAATTTAAAGGCAATGCTACCAAATACTAATTGAGTGTATGTAAACTTCTGACCCACTGGGAATATGATGAAATAAATAAAAGCTGAAATAAATAATTCTCTCTACTATTATTCTGACATTTCACATTCTTAAAATGAAGTGGTGATCCTAACTGACCTAAGACAGGGAATATTTACTAGGATTAAATGTCAGGAATTGTGAAAAACTGAGTTTAAATGTATTTGGCTAAGGTGTATGTAAACTTCTGACTTCAACTGTATATTGAAAGCAGGTGCTTCCACACAGGTGTGGTTTCTGAATTAATTAAGCAATTAACATCTCATCATGCTTAGGGTCATATATAAAAATGCCCAGTTGCCCATTATTTTGGCTACCATGGCTAGAAGAAGAGATCTCAGTGACTTTGAAAGAGTGGTCTCAAAGGAGCATAGGGGGTTTAAAGGTAGCGTGTTTGTGTGTGTGTGTGTGTGTGTGTGTGTGTCTCTCAGTCACCAGATCTCAACCCAATTACACTTATAGGAGATTCTGGAGCGGTGCCTGGGACAGCGTTTTCCACCACCATCAACAAAACACCAAATTATGGAATTTCTCATGGAAGAATGGTGTCATATTCTTTCAGACACTTGTATAATCTGTGCCAAGGCGCATTGAAGCTGTTCTGGTGGCTCGTGGTGGCCCAACACCCTATTAAGACACGTTATGTTGTTTTCCTTTATTTAGGCAGTTACCTGTATATGTACTAGACCCATTTGAAATAAAAGCATATGATACTGAAAACAATACATGGTGGAAATTCCCTCTTGCCCATGCTTATGTCAATACAATGCATTTGAGTACATGAGGGGGCGTGATCAAGTAGGCAACATACCTCTGGAATTGGAATGCAGCCAATAATGGTAGAGGATAGGTAGGGTTACAGATGGATGGAGGCGCAGGCAGTAGACGGCCTAAGCAGGGACATCTTTGGCACTGATCTTGTTGACTTCCATACGCAGCACTCTGAGCTGGGAGTAATTCATCATGTCCAACACACACCGGAAACCTCATTGGAAGAACTCTGACATGAGGACAGAGAGAGAAGGCACAGTTTATTGGTGATTTCTTCTTGAATACCTCCCTGACAGCAATGGTTGGGAATGTTGTTTTGTTGTTGGTCATGTGTTGGTCAGGTGAGAGAGAAAACAATCTGAAAGTTGAAAACATTAAACAATAAGCCATCTCTTCGTAATAAAAATGTAAATCTTAGGCAACTATATTGTGAAATTCGATGCAGTAACTTTTCAGATTCGACCACGGCCACTGGATCTTGGAGATCTTGCTGTGACACAGGTGTAGATCATTGATGGACTAGGGCAGGTTCGTGGGCACGCAGGTCACCTCATTGTTATGCCAGTACAGGCGGTCCAGGTTTTTGAGCTTGCTGAAGACGTTCTTGCCCACCTTTGTCGGAGCTGAGCTGGTTCTGGTGTTGCATGACCCAGACCAGGCTGGTGGCGTTGTCAAAGACCCCGTCCTGGATGCCTGTGATCTGGTTGCGCTGTAGGTAGACATACTTCATACGGGAGGGGACATACGGGATGTGCTGTTGGTTGCAGCTGTGGCCGTACATGACTACGGGGAAGCTGGCGGGGCAGTCACACTACAGGGTGCAGTCATCGTCCAGCCGCTCGGCCCACATGGACGAGGGGTGGTGGCGGCTTCGCAGGTAGTTGAGCCACTTGAGGGCATTGGGGTGATGGGTGTAGCTCAGGTTCACCAGTCCAGCCACGATCAGGTGTACCACTGTCCGCATGGTCACTGCAGGGAGAGGAAAGGGAACATAGATCAGAATACAGGTATAAACTGTGGTGATTTGAATTCTACGTAAAACATTTTTATAATTGAAGGTTGTCCATTACTCACATTGTCAAAGCCTTTCATTGGTGCTCAATGAAAACTCAAACTCTCCAAGTATGTTTATCCACAAACAATGACTTTAATTTAAATACATAATTTTACAAATGAATGGAAATAAGCATGAATTAAAATTCCAGCTGTTGTTTAGAGGCAGTCGCTCCTCCCCAGTCTCTGTTGCAGGGTCTCCTTCAGACTGAGCTGGAGAGCGGTTTTAGCATGGTGTAAATAGCCCTCTCCCCTCTCTCGGTCATCCCTCTCTCTCCCTCCCCAGCTGCATCCCAGCCACTCTGTCTCTTTACAACACATACACTTTCCACAACTATGTAAGACAACATATCACCCCCAGCCATGTCAATATACTGTAAATCCCATCTGTGTGTTGGCGGCGCTACCATCTGGTCTTTAACAACCTTGTTTCCCCCCTCTCTGTTGTAGCTTATCATTAGCTTTATATCAGCAAAGGGCTATGCCTTGATGTTTCTATCTGAAGGCTTTCAGGAAAGGAGTGCAGGAAAAGGGGGGTATGGTACGACATATAGTACCTTAGCATGTATTGCATGATTGGATATTGTCAGCATTGTATCCTGCAATCAAATTAGACCTTCATACCAGGGCAAAAGTTATCTATCTGGATTTCGCCTATCAGATAGGATTAACTGCATAGAAATAGAATCAATTAAATGGACGAATCATAGACTTGAACGGTGACTCCCATTCTATTCATTATATTTCTAAACATTTAATCCTATCCGATAGGAAATCCAGTCCAAATTCAAGTCAATGATTCTTCCGTTCTATTCATTCTATTTCTAAGCATTTAATCCTAGAAAAATGGTCCCTGGATGTGCTCTTCTCTGTGTCTGACCGCCTCGGGGCACAAACTCACAGCTTTGAAGCCTTAATGCAAATTATATTAATTTAACTGGAAAGACAAATAGGCTCCTCTTTCCTCCATTACCTGGAAAACAGCAAACAATTGCCTGAACTTTCCAAATGATCTCAACTTATCTGCATCCTGTGGAAAGAGAAAGTCCAGAACCAAAGTAGTGTTGTTAACACTTGCCACAGTTAATTACCATTGTCTTTTATCACAAAGAAACTGCCCTTCCATTGAATGGGGTATGAACATGGTCCTCTGTAGCTCAGCTGGTAGAGCACGGCGCTTGTAACGCCAAGGTAGTGGGTTCGATCCCCGGGACCACCCATACACACAAAAAAAAATGTATGCACGCACGACTGTAAATCGCTTTGGATAAAAGCGTCTGCTAAAAGGCATATTATTATTATAACATGGCAAGAGCAATGGATGAATATTGGGTATACCTGGATATTGCCAGGACACTGCTGCACTTACTGAAACATACAACCTCAAACTACAAACAACCTCAGGATCTAAATCCATGACTTAAACACCATTAAAATGCTATATTTGTGCCCAAGTGTCTGCATCTAAACATACACCTCTGTGATAAGGGTGCTGGCACCACTGATTCTGCCTGAGGAGCTCCAAGTAGACTTGATAATGGAGCTCTCCATGCGTAGTGAAGATAGGCCAGGCTTGTGATCCGAATGACACCAAGCAGAAAGAATGCAAAGTGCTTACCGGTGCAATGCCTTGGTCCTTGTGGTGGGCGCATAACTGTGTTTTAACCCAGCAGTAACACACCTGATTCAACTAATCTTCAAATCAGATGATTGCAGGGTTGGAACAAAAGCCTAGCTGCACATAAAGCAGTCTTCTATGGCCAATACTGGTCACCCCTGGCAAAGGAAAATAAGCCAAAAAATAAAGTTTGAATAGGAAAGATATGTTTTGTTAAAGCAAGATGAATAAATAGAATAGAATGCATATTTCTTCCATTTGAGCATCGTGCTTTAATTAACACATCCAATAGTGTGTATATTTTATCTTTGATCTAGAACAGGGATATGCAACTTTGATGGGGGTGTGGGCCACAAAAAATCTCAACTATATTATGAGATGCCACATCCACACACACACGCAGTCAGAGGGACATTTTGTTGGGGGAACAAACCACCACCTTGTGAGCAAAACATTTTAGCTGCGCCACTCTTGAAAGCGGAGAGAAAAAAATGTTTTAGAGTTAATTTCCAGCAATTCTACACATTTTGCCATGGGGTGGAGAGAAATGTTTGCAGTTTTTAATATGATATCAGAGTGAGAGTGACTAACAAACTCAATGGGGCCCCCCCGGTCGACCATGATTCCTACAAGTTTAGATAACTGGATAGACTAACTTACCAATCAGAAAATGATTTACTGACGTGCTAATTGAGTGACTGTCAGTGATTGACGAGAAAAACTGCTGATTCAAAAACAAATATCACCTTGTGTATTTCTACTATTCTAACTCCCAACAGTAAGTTGGGGGAGAAGTGGGGAATTGATCTGCTGGATGTAACCACACATCTAACACATCAGGGGAAATGGCTCCAAGCCACCTTGAATTTGTCCAAATTGTGTTGTGTTATAGCCTGAATTTAAAATTGTTTCAATTTAGATTTATTGTCACTGGCCCTCACATAATGTCAAAGTAGAATTATGTTTTTAGAACTGTCTTTGTCATTAAGTATTCAACTCCTTTGTTATGGCAAGCCTAAATGAGTTCAGGAGGGGAAAAAGTCACATAATAAGTTGCATGGACTCACTCTGTGTTCAATAATAGTGTTAAACATAATTTTTGAAAGACTACCTCATCTCTGTACCCCGCACATACAATATCTGTAAGGTCCCTCAGTCGAGCAGTGAATTTCAAACACAGATTCAACCACAAAGACCAGTGAGGTTTTCCAATTCCTCACAAAGAAGGGCACCTATCGTAGATGAGTAAAACAAATTAAAATATATCGCTTTGAGCATGAAGTTATTGATTACACTTTTAATGGTATATTAATACACCCAGTCACTAGAAAGATACATGCGTCCTTCCGAACTCAGTTGCTGGAGAGGAAGGAAACCACTCAAAGATTTCACCATGAGGCCAATGGTGAATTTAAAACAGTTTAATGGCTGTGATAGGAGAAAACTGAGAATGGATCAACATTGTAGTTACTCCCCAATACTAACCTAACTGACAGACTGAATAGAAGGAAGCCTGTACAGAATACAAACATTCCAAAACATGCATCCCATTTGCAATAAGGTACTAAAGTAATACTGCAAAAAATGTGGCAAAGCAATTAACTTTTTGTCCTGAATACAATGTGTTATGTTTGGGGAAAATCAATACAACACATTACTGAGTACAACTCTCCATATCTTCAAGCATAGTGGTGGCGGCATCATGTTATGGGTGTGCTTGTAATCGTTAAGGATGGGGGAGTTTCAGGATAAAAAAGAAACGGAATGGAACTAAGCACAGGCAAAATCCTACAGGAAAACCTGGTTCTGTCTGCTTTCCACCAGACACTGGGAGATGAATTCACCTTTCAGCAGGACAATAACCTAAAACACAAAGCCAAATCTACACTGGAGTTGCTTACCAAGACAGTGACTGTCCCGATAATGGCGATAATGGTTGTCTAGCAATGAACAACAACTAATTTGACAGAGGTTGAAGAATTTTGAAAATAATAAATGGGCAAATGTTGCACAATCCAGGTGTGGAAACCTCTTAGAGACTCACAGCTCTAATCTCTGCCAAAGGAGATTCTAACAAAGACTCAGGAGGGTAAATACTTATCTAACCATTGTCTTTAATTAAGTTATAATTTTTCTTCCACTTTGACATTAGTATTTTCTGTAGATCGTTGACCAAAAAAAAAGACAATTCAATCCATTTTACTCCCACTTTGTAACACAACAAATGTGGAAAACGTCAAGGGGTTTGAATACTTTCTGAAGGCACTGTGTCAGAGGTTGTCTTTCCATCTCCATGACAGCAGAGGGTGGTACAGGGCTGCACAAACAGGATAATATTCTGCATTGCCCCAGTATGACATCAAGGTTACTTTAGGATTCTGGCACAACACCATCAGTCACAAATCAATCAACACATTCGCGTGGATAAGGGAGTTTGTACAAGTTTTAATCCACAGTAAAAGACAGCCAGGACATTAGTATAGCAGTTTGAGACTAGACGTGCTACATGTCATATGTGTCCCACCATTCCCCCATGCATTACAATGGTGCCCTTACCCTCAGTGTTCCCCATCACAGCAGAAACCCTCAACAACATTATTGCTTCTGCGTGGAAACTGATAGTGACACTTCTGTTGTATAGTTCATTAGTAGAAATTCACTGATAAGATATTTAAACAAGTGCAATCAGCATTGAACTGTGACTTTCATCAGGATAGTTGTGAAGTAGGCTACACCATCGGTGGGATGTGGGGATTTTGTGAGCTCATTTTATGGGTTGGATATTTGATAACATTATATACATTTGCTACCTCCACAAAGTGGCTTGAATATTCCCTCACCGTCATCACATTGGGAAAAATCCGAATTTGAGATTAGTGCACAGATCTTGAACTTCAATCATGCATAACCTCAATGGGAGATTTGTGTGAAAAGTTAGGCTACGTGCACAGATCTCAAGTAAGTATTTTTTCCCAACGTCCTCAAGGCACACAGTCTCTCTAAACAGTCAGTCCACTCGAAAAAGATGCTGGCTATAACTCTGGCCACAGGTGCGTTGGCTAAGAAATCAAACCCAACCAACAATGAAAACACTTTCAACTGCGTTCATACAATTCAGAGGTCCAATCAAAACAAAAGCATTCATGGCAACAAAAACCCCACACAACAAATAGAAAATGTATACTGTTGGTGTGAGGTGTGAATAAGTATATACAACTAAAGGAACTAAAAGACATTCAATTATACACAAACAAAAACGATGCTTCCTCCATTGTGTAGAGTTAACCAGTGCATAGCAGAAACCGACTTAGCCATGTCCTTAAAGCAGTGGAACCACAGTATAACTGGAGGGGCATTCACATTGTTGTCATGGTCTCTCAGCTAACCATGACAGTATCATCTGAAGACCCATAGATACAGTATGAAAAACATGTGGCCAATACTGAGGGGACTCAACAATGAAAAACACAGAACAGAGCTGGGTCAGATCCTGGATTAGTTACAGTGCTGTCAGCTTGCATAGTGATCAGTAACAACGACAGAAAAACCCACTGCATCACCGAGACGTGATGATAAACATTGGATCTCTATGTGGACAAGAAAGCAAATTAACAAAATATGGTTCTTTACCTTGAATGGCAATGTAATGTGTGTGTGTGTGTGTGTGTGTGTGTGTGGTGTAAGTTATTTTGTTTCACGGGCCTGGTGGCTCACTGGCTGCATTTCTTGCTTTCTTCCTCCTCTTAATCAGCAGGGGATTGATCGAGTGCTCGATGGCCTTGATTTTGGTTTGCTCACAGTCCACTCTCATAGTTGCCAGGGCATTCATAAATTCATCCTAGTAACAAAAATCACACCATTAGCATATCGCAAAGAAACAATTAAAATATTGTGTAAAGCACAGAGAAAATCCAAAGGAGCAAATGCGCAATTGTGTGGATAGAAGCAGACCAAAACACTATTTTGTACAATCTAGAGTAGGATATTGTTGTTTTTGTGCCCAATCTGCATGCTAGAGGTGTGTGGATCCAAGTAAGAAGCAGAAAGAATGCATTCACATCACTGCAGTGCCAGTGCTCACCTTGATCTCTTCCCAGATGTCCTGTTCCTCCTGCAGCACACGACTGGTGTGGAGAGGGGTCTGAGGAACCTCCATGGACTGCTGCAGGGAGACCAGTATAGGTTAGCGCATTGCTCTGGAAAACACATTGTGTCCAATCAAGGAACATGAATATAGGATCAAACTGGAAATGTGAAAAGTATTCAGCAACTCTAGGAAGGTCAATTATTACAAAAAAACATTGTTACAAAAGATGAGCCCGGTCCCATACCGTATGTGGTTTTATGGTTGCCAAGTTAACATTGCTGTGAGGCCAGTTTCTTTGGCATGACAAAGAACCGAAACTTAGTTAGCTTAAACACAAACAGACTGGACAACCAGGCAAGAAAAGGATGCGAGTGCAACAACAACATAATATGCTATGACAGCAAAGATGTCTTGTGTTGACATCACATGGCCAGTTTAGTTTGGTTGACTCACATGTTAATGAGGAATGTGATTGTCATTAGGACTTCATGCGGTGGTACATATGATTAACTTTATCCATGACGCTTCTATGTTTCTGTAATTGTAATGTATCTGTGTTATGTTTGATATTTGTCTGAATCATTGTTCCCCTCTGCTGCTGTCTTGGTTCGACCAGGTCTCTCTTGAAAAACAGATGATTATCTCAATGAGACTAACCTAGATAAAGTAAGGTTAAACAAAAATGTAATACGATCACTGGAGACTTTTGAGAATTGTGAAATTCCATTCTGAAAAAAACAACCATTAATTGCGCTCTTCTGTTTTCTTCTGGTGGTCTTGTTGCATTGAAAGTTGCTAGTGAATAATCAGTATGTATAATCATAACATTGCGTTCTTTGTAATTAATACACAAATGCGACAACGATTGCTTCATGGTCATACTGCCTGGACTAGGGGGATAACAGAACGGTGCTGTGCTTACTTTGATCCAGGGGTGGTTCATTAACTCTGTGATGCTCATCCTCTGGGTGGGCTCAGTCTTCAGTAAGTGGCAGATCAGCTCATTGGCTGGGAGAGAGAAAACACAGGAAAACAGAGTTACAACTTTTGTAAGCAATTCACATAATTGCCCAGCATTATTACCATCAAAGTCATGATATTCATTTTGAATTCGGCCCATATAAATACCCCTGTCTTCTCTCTCTTACCTTCCTCTGACACGTCAGACCACTCTGCGTTGGGGAACTTGTACTCTCCGTTCCTGATGCGTTCTTTCATCCCAGGGGAGATGGCCAGGCCGTGGTTAGAGTAGAAGGGAGGATATCCACACAGCCTAAGTGGAGGAGGAGAGGAGAATGTATAAGAACCACGTAAAGTGCTACGTCCTGTACACTGCTGTTATTGGGAATTGATTCATGCCGTCAACCTATTTTGTATCACTTACAGCATATACATGATGACGCCCAGAGACCACATATCACAGGATTTGTCGTACTTCTCTGGACCAAGAACCTCAGGGGCTGGGATCAAGTAGAGGAAATACAGACTTAGAATACATTCAAACCTTATATTTTATGAACCTAATAATCAGTGCCACTGAAATATTCATGAATAATTATACCAACAGGGTTTAGACTGTATTATAAACCAGTCAGTAAGACTGTTGAACAGCAAGCATGTAGACCGAGTCGCGTGCCCTTACCAACATAAAAGGGGGTGTAGCATGGCGTTGCCAAGGAGTTGTGTCACGGTCGTTGAAAGGATTGGACCAATGCGCAGCGTGGAATGCGAACATACTTTATTATTTAATTCACCACACGAACAAAACAATACGTGAAGTCCTTGGTAACAAAACACAAACCATACACAGAACAAGATCCCACAATACACTGTGCCAAACAGGCTGCCTAAGTATGGTTCCCAATCAGAGACAACAAGCAACAGCTGATTCTCGTTGCCTCTGATTGAGAACCACCCCGGCCAACATAGATACACATGAACTAGAAACTGAAACAAAGAACACAAAACATAGACTCTACACACCCTGGCTCAACATAAAAGAGTCCCTAGAGCCAGGGCGTGACAAGTTGAGTGTGGTGCTTTCTTTGGCAAACCCAAAATCAATAAGTTTGAGAAGTGCGTCTGGCCTTTTGGAGGTGTACAACAGATTCTCTAGCTGAGGGATGAGAAAATAGCATGATTATTTATTGGACTGATCATGTAAAATAAGGGATGTTTTAGTATAATTCTGTTCATTGACAGACTTTACCTTAATGTCTCTGTGAGCGATGTTAATGGAATGTAGGTACTGGATGGCTTCTCCTATACTCTTCATGATGTCAGAGGCCTCTAGATGGGGTGGGAGAGAAGAGAAAGACTGAGTTAGAGAGGCATAACTGAGCGAGTGAACAGAGTTGAATACCAGTGGAGTGAAGGGAGACATTATTCAAATGGTCAGAAATTAGAGAAAGGATTTCTCATTACTAGGGCTGTGGTGGTTATTACATTTTGTCAGCCGGTGATTGTGAAGCAAATAACTGCAGGTCTCACGGTTACTGACCGTTAATTAACATAAACACATTTAGCATCTCCTGGCTTCCATGCATAGCCTACAAGCCACTGATGCAGACCTTTGGAACATCTACATTTAAAAAGTCTAATAAATCCATGTAATATAGCCTACACCATCACAATAAATGCATTATTTATTTTAGACAGGTCTAAAGAAACATGATATGAAGAAAATGTAGTCTATTTCAGAAGAACAGAATAGCATACTCTGAGTTGTCCTTATGTTAGTGTCACGATCGTCATATGGAACAGACCAAGGCGCAGCGTGATGAACAAACATACTTTAATTAGTTAAAGTTTAAACTCAATACAAAACAAGAAACGACTCGTGACGTCCAACGGTATCAATGACCGAACACGGAACAAAAACCCACAAACCCAAAGGGAAAAACATACAGTTTAAATATGGCTCCCAATCAGAGACAACCAGCCAACAGCTGACACTCGTTGCCTCTGATTGGGAGTCACTCAGGCAAACATAGAATTAAACACAACAGAATTACCAACATAGAAATACACACATAGAATGAACACACCCTGGCTCAACATAATGAGTCCCAGAGCCAGGGTGTGACAGTACCCCCCCCTAAAGGCGCGGACTGCGACCGCGCCTCAACTAAACAAAACAGGGGAGGGCTGGGCGGGCATACCTCCTCGGCGGCGGTTCTGGCTCCGGCCTTGACCACCACCCTCCAATAAACCCCCCATAGCGCCCCTGGTCCAGTCTGGCCCTGCCGGCTGGAGCCGAACTGGACTTAGCAGGAGCGGTTAGCTTCAGCTCCATAGTGGAGCAGTTGACCGGTACCTTACCAGGCACCGGTGACCCAGGCACGGATTGTGCTGGACTGACGACGCGCACCCCTGGCTTGGTGCGTGGAGGAGGAACGGGCCTTACCAGGCTGACGACGCGCACCCCTGGCTTGGTGCGTGGAGGAGGGACGGGCCTTACCAGGATGACGACTCGCACCCCTGGCTTGGTGCGTGGAGGAGGGACGGGTCTTACCAGGCTGACGACTCGCACCCCTGGCTTGGTGCGAGTGGCAGGAACAGGCCGGGCCGGGCTGGCGAAGCGCACCGTATACTTGGTGCGAGTGGCAGGAACAGGCCGGGCCGGGCTGGCGACGCGCACCGTATACTTGGTGCGAGTGGCAGGAACAGGCCGGGCCGGGCTGGCGACGCGCACCGTATACTTGGTGCTAGTGGCAGGAACAGGCCGGGCCGGGCTGGCGACGCGCACCGTAGACTTGGTGCGAGTGGCAGGAACAGGCCGGGCCGGGCTGGCGACGCGCACCGTATACTTGGTGCGTGGAGCAGGGACAGGCCGGACTGGGCTGGCGACGCACACCGTAGGCTTGGTGCGTGGAGCAGGGACAGGCCGGACCGGGCTGGCGACGCACACCGTAGGCTTGGTACGTGGAGCAGGGACAGGCCGGACCGGGCTGGCGACGCACACCGTAGGCTTGGTGCGTGGAGCAGGGACAGGCCGGACCGGGCTGGCGACGCACACCGTAGGCTTGGTGCGTGGAGCAGGGACAGGCCGGACCGGGCTGGCGACGCACACCGTAGGCTTGGTGCGTGGAGCAGGGACAGGCCGGACCGGGCTGGCGACGCACACCGTAGGCTTGGTGCGTGGAGCAGGGACTGGCCGGACTGGGCTGGCGACGCACACCGTAGGCTTGGTGCGTGGAGCAGGGACAGGCCGAACCGGGCTGTGGAGACGGATAGGAGCCCTGGAGTGAAGAGCGGCCACAACCCGTCCTGGCTGAATGCCTACCCTCACACACTCTGTGTGAGGCATCCGCACAGGACGTACAGGGCGGTGTATCCGTAACCTGGTGGCCTCCAGAATCCGCCCCTCTTTTGCCTCCGTCAGCCCCGTCGTCCATGCCGTGTGCCCCCCCCCTAAAAATGTTCTGGGGTTGCCTCTCGACCGCCCGACGACGACCCTGATCACGCCGTTACTCCTCTCTACGGCGCGCCTCCACCGTCTCTTCTCCCGGCGCTGCCCCTGGACACGCTGCTTGGTCGTTGCATGGTGGGTTTTTCTGTCACGATCGTCATATGGAACAGACCAAGGCGCAGCGTGATGAACAAACATACTTTAATTAGTTAAAGTTTAAACTCAATACAAAACAAGAAACGACTCGTGACGTCCAACGGTATCAATGACCGAACACGGAACAAAAACCCACAAACCCAAAGGGAAAAACATACAGTTTAAATATGGCTCCCAATCAGAGACAACCAGCCAACAGCTGACACTCGTTGCCTCTGATTGGGAGTCACTCAGGCAAACATAGAATTAAACACAACAGAATTACCAACATAGAAATACACACATAGAATGAACACACCCTGGCTCAACATAATGAGTCCCAGAGCCAGGGTGTGACAGTTAGGCCCTGATCTGGCTATGCCATATGGCTGTGGCTAGTTCATTTAGCAGACAAGATTTGCTTAGAATTCTGTGGCATTATTTTATATTATTTTACAGTATGAAGAATACAATTGAACAAAGCTGAATAAAATAGAAAATATATTTTCTCCAACCGATTTGAGAGAGTGCGCACATGCGGCTATTCTGTGTTAAGCGGTTAACAAAGAAACAGGTACTCCTATATGCTTCATTTAGTGTTATTTATGTAACTTTAGTTGTGATACAAACGTTGGGCTATATGTTTAGATTTTTAATACATTCTAAGGCTGCATGATGTGACTAATGATGATTTGAAAAAAGTTGCATGAAAGGCATGCACTCTGCATTGTTTTTTGCGCAGGCTGTGCACACTTCATCAGTTTATGATTTGGAAAAAGTCACAAAAAAAGCATGCGCAACAGCAGGGCATCATTCACAAATGATAATATATCATTCACAAGTGATAGGCTAATAGTCACCCATCACACTATTCTTGATTTAATCTTGTCTACTATAGTTTTTGCAAGTCGGTTAGGACATCTACTTTGTGCATGACACAAGTAATTTTTTCAACAATTGTTTACAGATAGTTTATTTCACTTATAATTCACTGTATCACAATTCCAGTGTGTCAGAAGTTTACATACACTAAGTTGACTGTGCCTTTAAACAGCTTGGAAAATAAATAAAAATAATGTCATGGCTTTAGAAGCTTCTGATAGGCTAATTGACATCATTTGAGTCATTTGGAGGTGTACCTGTGGATGTATTTCAAGGCCTACCTTCAATCTCAGTGCATCTTTGCTTGACATCATGGGAAAATCAAAAGAAATCAGCCAAGACCTCCGAAAAAGTTTTTTGTAGACCTCCACAAATCCTATATCGACATAACCTGAAAGGCAGCTCAGCAAGCAAGCCACTGCTCTAAAACCGCCATAAAAAAGCCAGACTACGGTTTGCAACTGCACATGGGGACAAAGATCTTACTTTTTGGAGAAATGTCCTCTGGTCTGATGAAACAAAAATAGAACTGTTTGGCCATAATGCCATCGTTATGTTTGGAGGAAAAAGGGGGCTTGCAAGCCGAAGAACACCATCCCAACCGTGAAGCACGGGCGTGGCAGCATCATTTTGTGGGGGTGCTTTGCTGCAGGAGGGACTGGTGCACTTCACAAAATAGATGGCATCATGAGGAAGGAAAATTAAGTGGATATATTGAAGCAACATCTCAAGACATCAATCAGGAAGTTAAAGCTTGGTCGCAAATGGGTCTTCCAAATGGACAATGACCCCAAGCATACTTCCAAAGTTGTGGCAAAATGGCTTAAGGACAACAAAGTCAAGGTATTGGAGTGGCCATCACAAAGCCCTGACCTCAATCCTATAGAAAATTTGTGGGCAGAACTGAAAAAGCGTGTGCGAGCAAGGAGGCCTACAAACCTGACTCAGTTACACCAGCTCTGTCAGGAGGAATGGGCCAACATTCACCCAACTTATTGTGGGAAGCTTGTGGAAGACTACCCAAAATGTTTGACCCAAGTTAAACAATTTAAAGGCAATGCTACCAAATACTAATGGAATGTATGTAAACTTCTGACCCACTGGGAATGTGATGAAATAAATAAAAGCTTAAATAAATCATTCTCTCTACTATTATTCTGACATTTCACATTCCCAGTGAAAATAAAGTGGTGATCCTATAAAGTGGTGATCCTAACTGACCTAAAACAGGGAATTAAATGTCAGGAATTGTGAAAAACTGAGTTTAAATATATTTGGCTAAGGTGTATGTAAACTTCTGACTTCAACTGTATGTGTGAAATTTGTTCTGATTTAGAATGGACCATTATCATGCACCTGTCTCGAAACAGGGGCAGCGGGGGAAAAAAAATACAGGTAATCTATGCACTTAAATAGCGAATGGAGGATGCTTTTCCCATGGTTCATTTTCATGTCAGCCAGGTAGGCTATACTCCTATTGTAAAGAGAAGCAATGTGCTTAATATTTGGAAAGTTGAGAAATAAATATAGTAGGTCTAGTCTATAGAAAGCTGATGGGATCGTCCTCTTTTTAATAGAGGCCATCTCATGAAGTGTTTGATTAGATTTTTGATTACATTTGCATTGATGTCAGAGTGATTAGAGGACAATAGAGTTCAGAGTACCAGGCAGTTAGCAAGTTTGGTAGGCTACTAATGACCATCAGCAGCATCAGAGCTTGGAGAAGCCTAATTACCGTGACTAAACGGTCACGTGGAATTTGACTCTCATGACTTGTGACCGCCGTGTGGCGGTAATATGTGTGGCGGTAATATGGTCACCGTAACAGCCCTATTCATTACCTTTTTCTGTGAATGCTTGGTTCCCTCGGTCTTGAATTTGGCGGAATAGCTCACCTCCATGCATGCTAAAATGGAGAGAGAAAACATTGAATAACATAGACTAAATGTGTGTGTGTGTGTATGTGTGTGACCCACCACTCCATGACGATGAGCAGGCACTTCCTGCCTTGGTAGAGGTTTTCGTAGACGTCCATGATGCGTACGATGTGAGAGCAGTGCGACACCCTCCAGTGGAGCTCTACCTCCCGACGAGCATCCGCACAGTCCTGCAGCATCTGAAAAGAGGGGGCGGAGTAGATGAGAAGAGAGAAGGGTATCAGAGATTACATCTGATCTTAATGGCTTCCTTTCCTCCTCTCCTTACCACCATTACCACTGATATCAAAGATAATAGGTCTAAATAAAAGTTAAAGCAATATGATGGAAGAGGAAGAGTGAGAGACAATTACCAGCATGAGCAGGGGATTTTTAGACCCGAACCAATAACCAACAATGGTTATGGTAAACCACACAGAGCTGAGCTGCTGACTAATGTCTTTCAAAAGGTTACATCTAGATTTCTCCCCAACCAGTGTCTAGTGTAGCCTACTTTCTCCACTATTGATAGTACATCAGGCCAGGGGTCTCAAACATGCAGTGTCTAACTTGTCATTGTTTCTGAATTAGAAAAAGAATGCAGTAGATTTTCTGTCCTCAGTTCACTCCAAGTTGAGACCCTCAAACCACGACGGAGCAAAAGCCATCCAGAGGTAGTCACTTCCCTTATTTTGACATTCAGATCTGATTACGGCAGCCTCAGACACATTATAATACAATTGCCTTCCTTCCTAGATGGAACAAACCTAATGCAACCTAATGACATTACTCACCCATTTGGGAGTTCAAGAACAATACCACACAAAACACCAAGCTGGTTGAAAAGGTGAATGCTTAAACCTTGGCCTGCCTGTCGTGTGGCTAGTAAGCAAACACACATTGACAATCACTTTACAGTCAGATGCATGAATAACCTCCTAGAGTCGATGTCCGCGCCACAGTGGAAATCGAATTAGCATAATAATAAAAAATCCCCATCAGTCTGTTTAAGCTAGACATATGTTTTTGTGTCTCAATCCACCGCGTCCGCCAATGGTGGCCTTCCGCATCAGCGGTGGAAGGCGGCCGAGCTACAGTGGTGTTTGTCAGACCATGAGACACAATGGTGTTCTCGGTTTTGCTCTACGACACCTACAAGTGTCAAGTGACTCGTCTGAAGTCGGTACTGCCAATCTGCCAACAGTTTAGGCTACACACTAATATGAAACCTCCATGAAAAGGTGAGACTCTCAAAACACGTACAAATATGTTTTAGAACACCTACTCATTCAAGGGTGTTTCTTTATTTTTACTATTTTCTACATTGTAGAATAATACTGAAGACATCAAAACTATGAAATAACACATATGGAATAATGTAGTAACCAAAAAAGTGTTAAACAAATCAAAATATATTTTATATTTGAGATTCTTCAAATAGCCACCCTTTCACTTGACAGCTTTGCACACTCTTGGGATTCTCTCAACCAGCTTCACCTGGAATGCTTTTCCTACAGTCTTGAAGGAGTTCCCACATACAGTGAGGGAAAAAAACTATTTGATCCCCTGCTGATTTTGTCCATTTGCCCACTGACAAAGAAATGATCAGCCTATAATTTTAATGGTAGGTTTATTTGAACAGTGAGAGACAGAATAACAACCAAAAAATCCAGAAAAAAGCATGTCAAAAATTTTATAAATTGATTTGCATTTTAATGAGGGAAATAAGTATTTGACCCCTCTGCAAAACATGATTTAGTACTTGGTGGCAAAACCCTTGTTGGCAGTCACAGAGGTCAGACGTTTCTTGTAGTTGGCCACCAGGTTTGCACACATCTCAGGAGGGATTTTGTCCCACTCCTCTTTGCAGATCTTCTCCAAGTCATTAAGGTTTCGAGGCTGACATTTGGCAACTCGAACCTTCAGCTCCCTCCACAGATTTTCTATGGGATTAAGGTCTGGAGACTGGCTAGGCCACTCCAGGACCTTAATGTGCTTCTTCTTGAGCCACTCCTTTGTTGCCTTGGCCGTGTATTTTGGGTCATTGTCATGCTGGAATACCCACCCACGACCCATTTTCAATGCCCTGGCTGAGGGAAGGAGGTTCTCACCCAAGATTTGACGGTACATGGCCCCGTCCATCGTCCCTTTGATGCGGTGAAGTTGTCCTGTCCCCTTAGCAGAAAAACAACCCCAAAGCATAATGTTTCCACCTCCATGTTTGACAGTGGGAATGGTGTTCTTGGGGTCATAGGCAGCATTCTTCCTCCTCCAAACACGGCGAGTTGAATTGATGCCAAAGAGCTCAATTTTGGTCTCATCTGACCACAACACTTTCACCCAGTTCTCCTTTGAATCATTCAGATGTTCATTGGCAAACTTCAGACGGGCATGTATATGTGCTTTCTTGAGCAGGAGGACCTTGCAGGCGCTGCAGGATTTCAGTCCTTCACAGCGTAGTATGTTACCAATTGTTTTCTTGGTGACTATGGTCCCAGCTGCCTTGAGATCATTGACAAGATCCTCCCGTGTAGTTCTGGGCTGATTCCTCACCGTTCTCATGATCATTGCAACTCCACTAGGTGAGATCTTGCATGGAGCCCCAGGCCGAGGGAGATTGACGTTTTTTTTGTGTTTCTTCCATTTGCGAATAATCGCACCAACTGTTGTCACCTTCTCACCAAGCTGCTTGGCGATGGTCTTGTAGCCCATTCCAGCCTTGTGTAGGTCTACAATCTTGTCCCTGACATCCTTGGAGAGCTCTTTGGTCTTGGCCATGGTGGAGAGTTTGGAATCTGATTGATTGATTGCTTCTGTGGACAGGTGTCTTTTATACAGGTAACAAGCTGAGATTAGGAGCACTCCTAATCTCAGCTCGTTACCTGTATAAAAGACACCTGGGAGCCAGAAATCTTTCTGATTGAGAGGGGTTCAAAAACGTATTTCCCTCATTAAAAGGCAAATCAATTTATAACATTTTTGACATGCGTTTTTCTGGATTTTTGTTGTTGTTATTCTGTCTCTCACTCTTCAAATAAACCTACCATTAAATTTATAGACTGATCATTTCTTTGTCAGTGGGCAAACATACAAAATCAGCAGGGGATCAAATACCTTTTTCCCTCACTGTATGTGTTGCCACCGTAGGGTCATGCACTACTAATAAAGCAAAGAAGGGCTTTGTATCCGTCACGGAATAGAGAATAACAATGGTCCAATGTATGCTTCTCCCCCAAAAAATAAATAAAATTAAATACAATTAAAAATTAAAAGATGCGTTGGTGAAATTTCGGGAGATTTTTCCTAAAATGTCCTTTGTTAAAGTACAATGAATAATGCCTCTGGATATGCTGTTTCCAATTTGTTCCAAGTCCCGTGTAATTCCTTGAGTGCCAGCGTGGTGTCGGATTGTGGGGGAATGTACACAGATGTGATACAAACAGCTGTGAATTGTCTCAGGAGATAATGGGGTCAGCATTTGATCGTGAGGTATTCCAGGTCAGGGGAACAGAAACTCTTAAGTGTTTGTACATTCCTACAATCACACCATGAGTTGTTATTCATGAAACATACAGGTGACCCTGTAGCAGGTGACCCAAAAGTGGTTTATGACTACTATGATTTCCCATTGTAGCCAATTAAATTGCAGTAATTCTGTAATTTTTCAGTTTTCCATTACGAATTTGGTAACAGAATTACGAGTTTTATTCACTTAATAATTCATAAACAAACTTAATATCAGTAAAAACACAATAACTAAATTGGTACGTTTACCTTTACTTGTTACTTCTGTGAATTTTCATTACCCTCCCTCCTCATGACGCAGAGAAATTAGAAAGTATGTTAAAAATACAGTGCATTCAGAAAGTATTCAGACCCCTTCCCCACATTTACAGCCTCATTCTAAAATGGATTAAATAAATAAAAATTCCTCAATCTACACACAAACACCATAATGACAAAGCGAACAGGTTTTTAGAAATGGTAGCAAATTTATTAAAAATAAAAACAGAAATACCTTATTTACATAAGTACTCAGACCCTTTGCTATGAGACTCGAAATTGAGCTCAGGTGCATCCTGTTTTCATTGATCATCCTTGAGATGTTTCTACAACTTGACTGGAGTACACCTGTGGCAAATTCAATTGATTGGACATGATTTGGAAAGGCACACACCTGTCTATGTAAGGTCCCATAGTTGACAGTGCATGTCAGAGCAAAAACCAAGCCATGAGGTAGAAGAAGGAGCTCCGAGACAGGATTGTGTTGAGGTACAGATCTGGGGAAGGGTACCAAAACATTTCTGCAGCATTGAAGGTCCCCAAGAACACAGTGGCCTCCATCATTCTTTAATGGAAGAAGTTTGGAACCACCAAGACTCTTGCTAGAGCTGGCCGCCCGGCCAAACTGAGCAATCGAGGGAGAGGGACCTTGGTCAGGGAGGTGACCAAGAACCCGATGGTCACTCTGACAGAGGTTCAGAGTTCTTCTGTGGAGATGAGAGAACCAACCAGAAGGACAACCATCTCTGCAGCACTCAACAAATCAGGCCTTTATGGTAGAGTGGCCAGACGGAAGCTACTCCTCAGTAAAAGGCACATGACAGCCCGCTTGGAGTTTGCCAAAGGGCACCTAAAGGACTCTCAGACCATGAGAAACAAGATTCTCTGGTCTGATGAAACCAAGATTGAACTCTTTGGCCTGAATGCCAAGCGTCACGTCTGGATGAGCGTAGCAGAGAGAAACGTGCTCCATAGCGCTCAGGACTTCAGACTGGGGCGAAGGTTCACCTTCCAACAGGACAACGACCCTTAACACACAGCCAAGACAACGCAGGAGTGGCTTCGGGACAAGTCTCAATGTCCTTGAGTGGCCCAGCCAGAGCCCGCATTTGAACCCGTTCGAACATCTCTGGAGAGACATGAAAATAGCTGTGCAGGGACGCTCCCCATCCAACCTGACAGAGCTTGAAAGGATCTGCAGAGAAGAATGGAAGAGAACTCCCCAAATACAGGAGTGCCAAGCTTGTAGCGTCATACCCAAGCAGACTCGAGGCTGTAATCGCTGCCAAAGGTGCTTCAACAAAGCACTGAGTAAAGGGTCTGAATATTTATGTAAATGTGATATGTTTTTTTTATTTTTATAAATTTGCTAAAATTTATAAAAACCTGTTTTTGCTTTGTCATTATGGCGTTTGTC